AGAACCTTGCTGTCCTCTCCCTCCATGAATTGACTTGTCCCTGGCTTAAAGCGCCAGGAAGAGAATGGAAATTCAGACCCAAAGTCCTGTCTGGGAAATAAGTGCTAGTTTCCTCATTTTTCTGATTAAAGTGAATCTTGAGTTTAGAAAATGTGAGATCTTAGCAACAAGGCTAGAACCTTCTGGTCAACTGAAGGAACAGATTAGGTTCTGGGCATGGGGGTGCATACCTGTAATCACAGCACTCTGAAAAGCTGACGCAGGAGCGTCACGAGTTCAAGCTCAGCCTGGGCAACTGAGTGACTTAGCCAGCCCCTGTCTTAACGTTAAAAAATTAGCATTAAAAAAGATCTGGGGATGTTGCTCAGTGTGAAGGCCCTGGGTTCAATCTCCGGTACCACAAAAATAATAAAATTTAAAAGATAAGATTAGGTGTCATTTACTGAGCACCTACTAAGTGCTGGGCACTTCAGAGGTATTTTCTGCAGATTGACAATTAGCAAGGCAAGAGTGGTTTTTCCATCTTATCGATGAAGACGCTCGAGCCTCAAAAAGCTGTCCCATGGCCAGAGTTTGTAAATAAATGACAGCTACAACTCAGCCCCAAAGCCTGGCTTCTCTGGCTGTCACTGCAGGGAAGGCCCCAGCGGACTCCCCAGGCCTCACCTCCCACCCACTCTGGTCACTGACAGCAAGCAGGTGCAGCCCTCCCTGCCTTGTCCTCTGTACCCCCAGAGAAAGCCCTGATTCTCCTGGCCCTTCTGTGTGCATGAAGGGCTAGAGACTGGAAACTGTGTCTGTTTTCTGTCCTTTTTTGGGAGGGGAGAGGTGCCGAGGTTTGAATCTAGTACCTTCACACTAAGTTAATACGCAGAGCATTTTTTATTTCGAGACAGGGTCTAAGTTACTAAGTTGCCCAGGTTGAGTCACTAAGTGGCTCGCACTTGGAATCCTCCTGCCTCAGCCTTCCAGCTGTCTAGTTCCATTCCTTCCTGTTCCCTTGGACCTTATCCCCAGGTCAGGCAGACACTGAGTTGCCACATTCCATTTTGCCAGCAGCACCCCTACCTTATCTTCACTCCGTCTGGGCATCCTTCCGATGAAGACCATGGCCTCTGATCACACCCAGTCTGCACATTCGCTCCCACATCATCCACGCACAAGTGTGACAAGCTGTCATCCTGCCACCTCCATGCACAGCTCAGCTCCAGGGGCAAGCACAGCCCCAGTACAGCCTGGTAGCTCAGTGTCCCCACTTCAGACACCGGAATAGTGGCCTTTTCAGGATGTGGCACAGTCATAACCAGCTGCTCCCCCAGGTGAGTCCAGGTGCAGCAACACCTGTCTTCCTCTACGTCACATCCAGGGAGCACCCAGAACCCTCTCCCTGGGGCCCTGCTGCACCCATGCAGGTCACTGCCTATGCATGTACACATATCAGGGAGGCCCAAGCAACTTAAAGGGAAAATACAGTGGTCCCCTTATCCACCAAGCTGCTTTCTGCAATTTTCGATATTCATGGCCATCTGGTGTAAGCTTTTTATTTATTTATTTGTTGTGACAGTAATGGGGACTAAGGCCTTGTGCCTGCTAGACAAGTGCCCTACCACTGAGCTAGACTCAGCCCCCAGCCTGAAAATGTTACAAGGAAAATTTCAGGAATAAAGAGTTGGTGAATTTTCAGATAATTTTTACCTATAGTGCATTGTTGTAATTGTTCCGTTTCATTATTAGTTATCATTAGCATCTTACTGTGCCTATTTCATACACTAGACTTTTTCGCAGGTGTTATATGTAGGGAAAAAAGTACAGTTGGGTACCACCCATGAGTTTTCACTCCCACTGCAGGTCTTAGAACATACCCCCTGAGGATCGGAGGACTGTGGCCATGAAGGCAGGGGGCCCTGCCAGTGGGGGCAGGCTTATGGATTTCTCTCAGTTTTAGGGACCCCCAGAATGTGCCAGGAGTCCCACCACCCACAGCTTCTCAGGCCGCTGGAGCTCAGCCCCTTCAGAGATGCAGCATGCTGGGGGACGTGGCTGAGGGGAGCGACGTCAGTACACACACAGTGCTCACTGCAAGGTCTCCCTCACTCTGTGACTGGACCAGCTGATTAGCAGCTTCCATGCTCCCTGGGCCTCAGTTTCCCCACAGGCTGCACTGTCTCAGGTACCCCAGTGTGTGTGTTTTCTCCCTGCACCCTGGGCCAGCCCAGTGAAAGGAGGCTTCAGACTGGGTGCCAGGTGTATGTGAGTCACAGACACCCGGGTTCCAAATTGTGTGTAGATGAACACAGATGTGTTTGTGTGTATGTGTGGTTATTTTTTATTTTTTGCTCCATTGCGCTTAAGTCATATTTTCCTATCCTCTGATCCAAGCTCTAAAAGCATTTTGTGGTATAAAATCTCCCATCATTTGATCCCCTCGACCGAAATAAACCAGCTCCCCTGGCGTCATCTTCCCTGAAAAGTGCCCGTGCGTCATGCTCTGAGGCTGGCAGGGAGAGGCCTTGCCCGCTTCAAAACACTTCATCATAATCCCTCCAGCACAGCCAGTCCTCTTCACTCCCTGGAGGGCGACTTCGGTTTCTTGGGCTGTTATTACTGGAATGCCAGCTGCTCCACTTACAACCGTCCATACAGAATTGCTCTGTCTAAGCAGAGGCTGCCTTGCAAGCCTCTGCTTAGCTCATCTCATGGAAATATCATTTAAAAAATAAATGCCAGTTCCATCTGCCCTTCCCTCCTGCCTCTGCTGTGTCTCCGGCCCTCCCACCCCTTGGCACTGATTGATCTATTCCAGCACTGCCGTGTCCCAGAGTCCTGCAGTGGTTGCTTGTCAGTAGCTGGCCATCCACCCACTGTGCCTCTGGGGCCGCCCAAGTATTCGTTGGCCTCTTGTGAGTTGTATGAGCATTTAAATGCGCCTTTAATATGTGGCATGGGGAAAAGAATGGTAGCTCTGGAGCCACACGCATATAGCTCAGCCACACACTCTCTGCAGCCTCGGGCAGGCATGGGTGTATCAGTGAAGAGAAACATCCCCCACGAGGGTACAAAGCCCCTGCTGTATATGGAGTTATGGGTGGAATTAGTACTTAGGAAGTTGGTGCTCAAGGAAAAAGACATTTCAGATTTTCTTGCAAGCAGTTTATGGACTTATTTTGCCTCCCATTATTCATGTTTTGGTTCTTACAAGTCAGAGAAAGTTTATAAGTTGGGCATTGTAGTGCATGCCTGTAATCCCAGCACTCTGGAAAGCTGAGGCAGGAGAATTGCAAGTTTGAGTTCCTCAACTTATTATGGGGTTACTTCCCAATAAACTTCCCACTGGAAAGTTGACAGTGTTACACATCAACAGCACCTTTAGTACAGCAAACCTAGCCAATACAGTAGCTTCGCCCCGCATGCCTTCAGCATCTCAGAGCACTTGTATTAGCCCATAGTTGGGCAAAGCCATCGCGCGCAAAGTATTTTATAACAAAGTATTGGAATATCTCACAGAACATACTGAATACTGCCCTGAAAGTGAAAAATAGACGGGTTGAATGGCCTCACTTTCACACTCCAGTAAGCGATCACAAGTCAAGCCACCCTAAGCCCAGGAGCACACATAGTTCAATTAGGTGGGGCATTTCATTTTAGGAATCTGCAGGAGGGTGTCATATTAGGAGCCCCAGTCTGGCCACTTGCTGTGGCATTGGATACGCGATTCAGGGTCTCTGTCCCTCTGTTCCCTTAGCTGTGCAGTGGTATAAGAGCAGTATCAGCGTCCTAGGTTGACCTGGGGGCTCATTGAGTAATGGGCCTGAAGTGTATCAAACGAGCCCCGGCACAGAGACGGCGCTTCCACTGGAAATATTGGCTGTTCTGCTCTAGTTACTATTATATGGCAGAAGCTTTTGAAGTATAGACTTACAGGCCATTTTTGTCATCTCCTCCTTCTACAGCTGTTCTCAGCAGGGGTGATCTTGAGCTCCCAGGGACATGTAGCAATGTTGGGAGACCTTTTGGTTGCCCCAACTAGGGGGAGAGTATGGTACCGGCATCTCACAAGTAGAGACCACACACACTGCTAACCATCCTCCAAGAGACAGGATGCAGCCCTTCCACTGAGGAATTGTTTGCTCCCAAAAGAGAGAGTTCTGTTAGAAACCCTGCCTAAGGCACTAGGGATGCCTCTCAGTGCTAGAGTACTGGCCTAGTATGCTCAAGGCCCTGGGTTTCCTCCCTAGCACTGCCAAAAAAAAAAAAAAGTAAGCCGGAAACTTTGTCCTTATGTAAGTTTTCTAATCACTGTAGAGTGCTTTGGGTGCTTGCTTTGTTGTTTTTTTTTGCAGCTATTAGCATGATTATTAGCTTACTAGCCATCCCACTGACACAAGGCAAGCTCCTGAGAGCGGGAGATTTCTTTCTAGCTCCAGTTCCTCCAGGCCAGTGCCACCCATTCAGCCCGCTGCAGATCTCAGCCACAAGCAGCAGCGGATCTGTCAGACCTGCCTTCAAGTCCTAGGACCGTCACTTCCTGGCTCTATATGACTTTGGGCACTGCCTTTTCAGACTCACCATTCTTTCAGTTTGAAAATGGGAACCTACAGAGCCCATAAAGTTAGAGTAGATGTTAAAAACATAGGCTCCAAGGTCAAGGTACACCTGGATTTAAGTCATAGCTCTGCCACTTACTTCATCAACTTTGGGCAGTAGTGGCCAAGCCTCAGTTTCCTCACTGTGAAGTTGGTCTAATAATCTCCCTCCTCCCTCAGAGGATCCATATGGAAATTAAAGGAGCCGAAGGCGGTGATTATTACTCTAATTATTCATCATCCAGCAGTGGTTTTCTTGGAGCCCTGAGTGTGTGTGGACCACGGGCCAAGCACAGTGGCCGTCGTGGAGCAGTTTGACCGCACTAGCGGTGCTCGACATCTGCTGGTGTGAAGGGGTCTGCCTGGTGCTTCCTCCAGCACTGACCTCTGACACTACCTTGCCCTGCCCTCTTTCAGATCTGTGCCATCATCGGCGGGACCTTCACCGTCGCCGGCATTCTGGACTCGTGCATCTTCACAGCCTCCGAGGCCTGGAAAAAGATCCAGCTGGGCAAGATGCATTGACATCCTCCCTGGTCCAGTGGCCAAGGACCAGGGAACCAGCAGCTCTGCCTCCAGCACCCTGTCTGTCTCTGGCCCAGGATCTGGCTGCATCCCAAAGTGTGTGTGGGAGGTGGGGGGAAAGGTGGGGGGGGTGGCTCAACCTTTCAGGGCTACCTCTCTTCCCCATGTTTAATTTGAGTTAAATAACACTGGCTGGAGTTCTGATATTCCTTTCCCTCAGGAGCTCCAAGAGGAGAGTCAGGCAAGAGGTCTGCTCTAGGAATGTTGCAGGCCATTCCTGGAAGGGCTGTAGTCTCTTCCTTCTTAGGGAGCAGCCCAGAGTCCTTGTTGACCAGCTGTCAGCCAGGCTTTGACAATCCTGCAGTGTCTCCCCTACCCCATGTGGACAGACTAATCACGTGGTTTCTCCTCCGGGTGGTCAGTGTGGGCTCTCTATGCTGGGACCAGGCTGCCCAAAGGTACTCCTACCTGGAGGCTTCAGTGCAACCTTCCCACACAAGGCGCTGAGGTTTGACATTGTAGCTGGAACTCTCGCTTCCACCCCATCCATCCCTGGCCAGGCCTTATAGCCCTCGTCCCTACCCCTGTTTAGATCTTCCCAGAAGCAGGGGCCCAGTTGCTTGGGTGATCTGCCCCGGATGACAGGGTGGGTCACAGATTCCTGTCTTGTCCTCGTTCTTCTGAACAACCCCATCAGTGTTCCTCGGCTGTCATGCTGTGTGACACTGACATTTTTGGGGGGAAAGAAAGGCTCTGTTGGGTCCTGCTGAGGCAGGGAGCGGAAGTCAGATGACTGGGAAGTCATCCTTGGAGGACCAGATAGATGTGGATTGTCTGCTTATGTCCACAAGGCAACTATCCTTCCCTGTAACCCACCAGTAATCATGTCTCAGCCTCCTCGAGGCAGCCATCATTGGCTCTAAGGCCTTAGCTGGGGGAACAAAGTGGACCAGCCCTTCTCCCTTTGGGTCTCCCGCTCCAAAGCTCCCCTTCCAGACCCAGCACTTGGACCTCTGCAGCTCAGTGTGGCCCAGGTCCCATTGAGTTCCCCTGCTGGCTGACCACACGCCACATTCCCAGCCCCTGGGGTGGTGGACTCCAGTGTCTCCCTACTTGCTGCTGAGGGGGGTTCCTACCCCACTGCTCCCTCTCATTCTTCCCTTTGTGTTCTGAAAGGGAAGGGCAGTGGTCCAGGCAAGAATTCCACCCAGGGAATTTTAGCTATGCTCTCTTGTCCCAGGGAGAGAGCCCTGCCCCTGTTTTTCATTTATATCAAGATTGTTTGCATACTTTTGTAATGAGGGGGAGTTTCCAGTAGAAGGATTTTTTAAATTATCTATATAGGATAGCTCAAGTCTCTGCCATTTGTAAATCTTGGCTCTGATTCCAATTAGCAAAGCTGTCCCTTTTGCATATGAGTTGACTAATGTGTATATAAACTGCCATTGGTTATTTCTGGTATCTGTCGTCACTTGGACAGATTTTTTTAAAATTCTGTTCCCCAGTTACCGAAAGGAGTCCGTTTGCTGTGTGAATATGTGCGCCTGTAGAGGATGACAGGGTGGGGTGGGGGCGGAAATGTGTGGCATGCACATGAGTTGAAATCCCACGTTCATAAATTGAAAAAAAAAAAAAAAACAAACAAACTCTTGAGGACATGGGGGATGTCAGTTTCCTATGGAAGAGACACCTCTGAGCTATTATTCTTACAAACAAAATCTCCAGGGGAAAAAATGTTTTAGTCCTTCCTCCAGGTTTAAATAGATTATTAAAATGCTGATTTTCAGAAGTAATGCTGTGTGATTGATTCTTTCTGCCTTGGTTGTGGCTGGGTAGCTGGGAGGCTAGAATCAGAGTCAGAATGGAAGTTAGTTCTAGAAGACAGAATTGGAAATGTTGAAAATAAGATCTGTTGGAAACCAGGAGAGCTATGTAGGATACTTAACTCTTCCGGATCATTGACCCTTGAGAAATTCCAGTGTTTGTCCTGGGCAGGGCAGGAAAGGTTCGAGAGAAGGGGCTTATTGTGAACAAGTTTGACCGTTGGCCACCCCCCACCACCCTGCAACTACATATGTCAGTAAAGAGGACGAATCATGATATCATTGTAGGGGAGGCAGCTCTGCAATGCTAGACACCTAGACTCCAGATACTTTAGGACCCAAGCTGTGTTTAAATATTTATCAGAAACAAAAGAATCTTATCTCTCGTTTATGCTTAAGTACCAGCTCCTCCTGGTGATGGGGATGGAACCCAGGGCCTCAAGCATGCTAGGCAAGCACTGTACCACTGAGCCTCGTCCTTAGCCCACTGACTCAAATATGTGCAGCTATGTTCTGTGTTGGGCGTTCATTCCAGTGCAGAACAATAAAGCCGGACAGGAGGGGGTGGGGTGGGGTGGATTCATGGAGATAAACAGAAAGTCAGAATATGTTAACATTTAATATCCCTGCAGAATGTTCCTGGGCCTGCTGCTTTCTGGCTGTGGAGGTTCAGTCTGGCCCCTTAACCTCTTAGGGCCTGTTTCTCTGAAGTGGAAATGGGGACAGTGAAACAACTACATCCTGAGATCGCTGTGATCTACCACTGAATCGTTAAATGTGATTTTAATTACACAAGTAATACATGTGCATAGCCTGCTGGAGGAAAATCAGAGAATACCATAAAGTTCAAAGAAAAGAAAAATTAAGGTCACCCATAGCCCAGTAAACAGAGGTAGTCATTAACATTAAGGACGCCTTTCTGTAAACAAAATAGTTCACAGAACTATTCATACTGTTCATACTATTTGGTAGTTTCCTTTTTTCTGTGATTAATAAACATCTTCCTAGGTTAATAAACATGGAATTTCCCCATCTGCTCTTTCTGGTGGGGATGTAACCCAGGGGCTCAAACATGCTAGGTATGCACACTACCACTGAGCCACATCCCCAGCCCAGAATCTCATTATTATCTTTCTTTGCTGCAAGATAAACAGCTGGGTGTGGTGGTGCATGCCTGTAATACCTGCACTCAGGAGGCTGAGGCAGGAGAATCCTCAGTTTGAGGACAGCCCAAACACCCTCACCCATAGTGAGACCCTATCTCAAAAGATAAAAAAATAATAATAATAATAATAACCATAGTGAGCATCTAATGGTAAAACATGTTTATCCTTTGCTTCCTCTCATTCAGACCCTTAATTTTCTCACTTTCTGTAATGGAAGTTATTCACAGTGCTTTTTAACGGATGAAATGAGGTAATGTTTGTAAACCGGCGAGCACCATAACTGACAGTAAATCCATAGCCTTTTGAGATTAGCTATCCTTATTCCTTATTCACCATTCAACAAATAATTTCTCCCATTCATTAAGCTTTTACTGTGTGCCAGTCATTGTGCTAAGGGTTCATTTAATCCTGACACCAAACTGTTGAGGTATTATCATTATTCCCATTACTCAGATGTGGAAAGGGAGTGATCACAAGACTAAAGATCTTACTCAAAGCTACAGAACCAGGAAGTAGTAAAGAGCCAGAGCCCAAGCAGGTCTTATGCTAAGTCTCACACAATTCCCCACCACTGCCTCAGGGATGTAAAATTATGCAGTGGGCATTTACTCTGTGTTAGGTGTGGGTCTTCTAAACCAGTCCTTGTGCACAAAGGGCATGAGGCATGCAGCAAGGTGAGTGGAAGGAGGAGCAGTTAAGTGAAAAGAGTGAACTTGGGAAGGGATGGGTCTGTGAGGGCTGTTCTGGAAGGGAAAACCTCTGACTGCTCTATGCACTGTGCACCTGGTCTTGCTAACAGCACCTGCCCCCGAGCTGCGGATGAAAAGTGACTCCTGACTCAGAGGGTCTGAAATAAAACCTAAAATAAGACCAACCGAGATGCCCGCTTGACGAGGAGTACTGATAAATACGTGTGTTTAGCAATTTCACCACCACCGCCAGGGGACGCTAATAAGCCCGAAGAGCGTACAGGATCAGCCTGAACGTGGCTGCTCGACTTTGGACACCTTTCTTTCTGAATTCTGGGGTCCCCTTCTGCTAAAGGATTACTACATACTCATCTCTGGCATCTGACACAAAGTAAGAGCTCCACAGACATGGAGTGAATGGCTGAACCGGAAGGCTAGAGATAAGAAATGAATGAAGGCTTTGAACCTTGCACAGAATGAGTCCTTGGGTCCCTAACTTGAGAGCAGAGGAGGCTCAAAGCCTTTGCCCTCCCTCTGAGCCTAGGTTGGGGCGCCTCGGGCGATGGCTGTCTCCTGCACTGCGCTGCCGGACCAAAGACTTTACGCCCCGGGGTCCACAGGGTGTCTCGCCCTGAGGAGTAGTGGGGTGGCGCCCCCTCCTTCACAGGCGGGGAGCTGAGCTCCCGGACTGGCGTGGCGCGGGGCGGGGCTGAAGGCCCGAGATGGGCGTGGCGCGGCTTGTGTGTGGGGCCTGGCGAGAGGGCAAGACGATGGCCGGAGTCCCAGGGAAGTAACCGGTCCTCTTCCAAAGCTCTCGCAGTTTAAAATTAAGAAAAAAAAAAAAAAAAAGAAGTAGATAGAGGTCAGAATAAGAATAAAGCCACTGAAGTACCAGCCTGGTGGGCCAGCGATGCACACTTTATGAGAACCAATGAGGGGGCGGGAATATAGCTCAGTGGCACAAGTGCCTGCCTGGCAAGTGCAAGGTCCTGAGTTCGATTCCCAGTACCAAAAAAAAAAAAAAAAAAAAGCCCTGAGAACCAATGGGAAGAAGTCCGAGCCGCTGGAACCTATTCCCTATGAATTTATGGCCTAACAGATACAAAACAAAAACAAATCTCTAAACTGGGTGTAGTGGCACACTCCTGTAATCCTAGTACTCGGGGAGGCTGAGACAGAAGGACTGCAAGCTTGACTCAACCTGGGTAATTTAATAATTTAGATAGACACTGGGTCTCCCTGTGTAGCCAGGTTGGCCTTGAGCTCGCAGCGAAACTCTTCAGCCTCCTGAGTACTGGAATTACAGGTGTGCACCACCATGCCCAGCTAGAGATACCTGTTTCAAAATATAAAATAAGTAAAGAGGCTGGAGGTGTAGCTCAATACCAAGGCCCTGGTTTCAATCCCTAATACCAGGAGGGAAAAAAACAAAAAGACCTCTGGACTGTGAATATATTTCTCTTAATTGAATGCAAGTGCTGTGTCCTTTCCCCCTAAAAAATACTTTTTTTTTTAAGAGTAAAAGAAGGTTAACATAATAATGGGGGGG